TACATTACAGTACATAACATTTCACTTACCACATAAACAGAGTAAGGAGAGATGACTGATAGGATGATGGCGAATGATTTGCATATCCTGAGCACCACTGACAAACATCTAATCTTGTAAAATGTGTGGTAAGTAATGCAGAGTGCTGCTCCGTATGTGTGATCGCGAATCTTGAAAGTGAAAGTAAAAAGCGAGCGTGCATTCAAAATGGATTTCAATGCCCTGCATATTAATCGCGCCTCCCTGGTGCCCGCAATTTATATTATTTGCACTGGGCGATAGAGTATGATTAATGATTTATGTTTGTTCGCGGGCACGTCGCGGCAGTGGTGGGTGGGGGGGGAATGATGATGCCGGCTCAATATCGTGATTAGGGATGCAGCGATACCATTTTTACAAATCCAACCCGATCCAGAAAATTCTGACTATCGTCCGATTCCGAGCAGATACCAGTGCAGTTTTTTTTTTTATCAATGTAGAATTTCTATACTTCTGTGTGTTGACCTGATAGTCACTCGTTTGTGTGTTCAACACAATCTGCTAAATATAGACAACTTATTTTAATGAAAAATAACTAATGAAAAAATATATAATCTGACAAAAATACTTTTAACTAGGTTAGTGGATAATTACAGACAGTACATAAAGTGGGGGGAATGATGATGCCGGCTCAATATCGTGATTAGGGATGCAGCGATACCATTTTTACAAATCCAACCCGATCCAGAAAATTCTGACTATCGTCCGATTCCGAGCAGATACCAGTGCAGTTTTTTTTTTAATCAATGTAGAATTTCTATACTTCTGTGTGTTGACCTGATCATCACTCTTTTGTGTGTTAAACACAATCTACTAAACATAGACAACTTCATTTCAATGAAAAATAACACATGAAAAAATATATAATCATAATCTATCATAATCGATTATAATCAAAATCTGTGCGATAGTTGATTGAGCCTTGTCTTTTAACAGTTTTAAATCTCAGTTACTGTGCGCTCTTGAAAAGAGTTTCATCGTCTTGACTGTCGTAACTGAACACGACACACAGCTTGAACACTGAATGGAGGATGACAGACAGCTGCAGCGGAGAGAAGAGTTTACGAGAACTTGAATTTAACGCTTTCTGCAGGCCTTCAGTCAGACTGTCTGCAAACTTTCATCAAGTCATTCATAACAGATCAGAACAGCCCCTTATTTCCAGTTCTCTTTAAATGATTCATTGCGAACAGAGTTGCTCTGAGATGCTGAAGGCATTAGATCATGAGCTGCTCACGTATAAATAGGGTTGGCCCTTACGTCCCTGACATCTGGGACGTAACAGTATCGTTAGATCTGAATTAGAATTATCAATTCTGATTCTTTTCAATTCCCAGTTTCGATTCCAATGTGATTAAATGATATCAAACATTTATCCTGTCTCTCTTTTTTTGCAAACCATTTATTGGAGCGGAATACCATGAACACAAATCAACAGGCTACATAAAAACTGGACTCTTTAAGAGCTGTTTGTGTGCAAAACAGAACTGCATGATTCTGGATAAATTGAGTTTTTCCCCCCAATGGAAGTTGTGGTTCTCTCATGATTCTGAAGAAAAAACATTAGACGACTAAACAAAATCACATGTAATTTATGAATACATGATTAAATGGCTCACTCAAGATGTACTTGTTTCATTACTGGATGAATCAGCGTTCTTGAACGAATCTCTTGTATGATTCAAAGACAGATACATTTTAACAGCCCCTTTTCGCCACCTACTGGCGTAACAATGTAATCAACAAATCTTCATTTGAAGTGTAAAATTACTTTCAAAAGTGTACACATCGTACACACAGTTTATATCTGAACTATAAACTTTTATCCCAGCACTTCTGTGATTGTAATGTTTGTAACAAAAATAATGATGCTGTGTGGCTGAAGAGACTGTGAGGCTGTTTCATTCGTGACAGACAGCTGCTCTCTTCAGGTCAGCAGTGTGAACGCATATTTAAATGCTCAAATCACACTGGTGTGATCGTACGCTGCACGGATGAACCACGTGATCACAACACTGATCGACACGTCAAAGCTTGAGGAATGAAACGGACGAATCATAATTTAGGAACAGAATCATGTTGGTGTTTGAATAGTGTTCACGATCTTTAACGATCTATTAACTTAAAGTGCTCTGTCATGTTGATGGTGACACCTCTCTTGCAACATGTTTAGCTATCACAGATATTATACTTAGCTTTGTTGGCTTCTGATCGCAAATGTAGCCAAACTTTGGAGCGCTTAGATTAGCGAGCACGGTCCTGGCAGATCGCTAGCTCCGGTCCTCACTGATGAAGAAAAAAAAAGCGCATAGCAATCGATAGGCGGAATCGAAATTTTAATTTGACAACAAGTATCCGATTCCTGACCTTACGTATCTGATTCTGGAATCAGAATCGATTTTCGATTCCCAACCCTATGTATAAATGAACACATTCTGAAATTATGGACTTTGCGCTTCATTAAAACACAGACTGCAGTGTGTCAGAGAGAAAACAGCTTGTTAGCAGTGCATCCAAAAATTTGCACACAAACAACTTTAAATATTTCTATCAAAATACTATTGCAAAACAGATGCTTGACAACACCATTATATGGATATTTATTTACAGCCCTATGATTAATGCATGATCACATTAAACTCAAAAGTGTGTGTTTAAGAGCATGCATTAGGAGAACATGTGAGAGCGAACGAGGAGAGTCCAAACCTTGTAACATCCTACAGCTTTGTCTGTTTCGCCGTTACGCTCAAACAGCTGCCCGAGGAACTTGTGCGCTTTAGGATCCTTCGGCTGGACAGTCAGATACTCCGAAACATGTCTGCCGTTGAAGTGTGTGAGAGAGAGAAACATCAGCTCATCAGAGAGGAAGCAGACATCAGACAAAGCAGCAAGAGGCACAGAAACCAGCCTACCTTTTAGCCAGCTCATACTCCTTAGCCTCAAAGTAGAGTTTAGCAAAGAGAAATCCTTTGACTGGCCTCTGCAGAAACACAGATCACAGGATCACAAACTCAGGGTCAGGACACAACACCACTGCAAACCCTAATGACCACAATAACTACATCATGCTATGAGTTTAAACGAATGTTGTAGTCCAGTGATTCTCAAACTTTTTACAGTCGCGCACACCCCCAGGCATTTATGATCCTCTCCCACACTAGACGCAAAGCATTTCAAAAACGTGCACATGTAACAAATACACACTACCAGTTAAAAGTTTTTGAACAATAAGATTTTTAATGTTTTTTAAAGAAGTCTCTTCTGTTCACCAATTATTCAATCCAAATAAACAGTACAATTTAGAAATATTCTTACTATTCAAAATAACTGTTTTCTACTTGAATATATTTTAAAATATAAAAACGCAAAGCTGAATTTTTAGCATCATTACTCCAGTCACATGATCCTCCTGAAATCATTCTAATATTCTGATTTGCTGCTCAGGAACATTTATTATTATTATTATGATGATGATGATGTTGAAAACCGTTGAGTAGATTTTTTTAAGGTTTCTTTGATGAATAAAAAGTTCAGAAAAACAGCATTTATCTGAAATGGAAATCTTTTGTAACATTATAAATAGTGGTCGACCGATATATTGCCAAGGCCGATATATCGGCTGATATTTGGCATTTTTCAAATATCGGCATTAGGGATGCTCCGATCCGCCTTTTTCGCCTCCGATACCGATTCCGCTTGTTTGCCGTCAGCATTTAGCAAATACGCATTTACATCATTTAAACGAATCTTTGAATGACTAATGAACATTTAATTTCACAAACCTTGCAAACTTAGTCGGATCCAGTTGTGAGATCGTGTGAAGTGTGCATGTGTATCCTGTATGATCGCGTGTTCTGTGCGTGACTTTTGGTCCATGCAAATTGAATGCTTTAAACATTAATTCGTGATTTCAAATTATGCTGCGCTTTATGCATTTGCCCACCGTCATATTCATGTCATTTCCACTGTGTGCTGTATGTAAAATGAGTGTTACCTTGGCTTTATTTGAAAAAAATATGATTCCCAATGCACACAAACTTCCCAGATTACTGAGTGCCCTGTTGGTTACAGTGTTTACTTCCTTTTTAATTATATTTTTATTAAATATTTATTTATTTGTGAAAAATACTTTGTCATCTAAAGTATAAGTATGTTTATTTTACAAATTTACTTTTTAATCCATTTTCAAATGATTTCAAATTTCTGAAATATTAATTCAAATAAATACAATTATATCGGCTTTATATCGGCCATCCTGCTTTCCAAGATATCGGCAGTCAAAAAAACAATATCGGTCGACCACTAATTATAAATGTCTTCATCATCACTTCTGAACAATTTAAAGCATCCTTGATCTTTGGATCTTTCTATTCCTCAAAGAATCCTGAAAAAAATCTACTCAACTGTATAAATATTGCTAATAATAATAGTAATATAAGAAGAAGAAATGTTTCTTGAGCAGCAAATCAGAATATTAGAATGATTTCTGAAGATCATGTGACACTGAAAACTGGAGTAATGATGCTGAAATTTAACAGGGGTTAAAGCAAAAATAATCCTGAGCCTGACCTTTTTTATGGGGGTTGCGGGGGTGGACACATGCACGGGGTTATTTGGCAAACAAACAAAAAAGAACATTATTTGAAAATGATTTTCCTTGAAACTAACTAGTAACGTATCTGCACTTGCCAGGCTCAGACTACAGATTATGGAGGGATATTTGAAACAGCAATACCAAGAAAGTTTACTCACTATAATGCAAACACATGTAACATTTAGGATGCTATTGATTAGAGCCCGACCGATATGGTTTTTTTGGGGCCGATACCAATACCGATATTTGGGAGTAAAAAAGGGAATGATGGAATGCAGGGCATTTAACAATTTAACTATAAACTATTCAAAATGAGTCTGACATCAGTGCACTGAACAGTACAGTTGAAGTTTATTCAACTTTAATTCAATTAAATTCCATTCAACTTTATTCCGTAAAAATAGATGTAGGCTAAGTGAACAATAGCCTTTAAATTTACTTAAAATACATATATAATATCAATGAGGCAATAATTATTAGTTCAAATAAAGTATCAAAAGCAAGAAAAATTGTTTTATTGAACAAAACCGTTAAAATACTGTATTATAATGTAATAGAGCCACTGATCTATATATAATTATAAAATAATATAATCTCCATTATAGATCAATGAATAGAGCTAATGTACATTACGCATTACAACAAAGGCCTGCAGAGGGCGCCAACGGCCTGACAAATTATGAGCTTTATCACGCTCATAGACACTCGGGGTGTGACAATAAACTTAGCTCACAAGGTGAGACAAAATACAGATACTTGGTTCACTAGAACAAGACAATGTTTTAATACTTTAAGAAATTTTCAAATGACAAAATATTTGATGAGGCAATAATGATTGGCTCAAATAAAATCAAGTACATGGTTTTATTGAACAACTGTTAAATACATAATGTAATCTGCCTATATTATAACAAACACCTGCAGAGGGCGCCAACGGCCTGGTGATGTTTCCTGTGATTCAACGACGTTTAAATCCATTTAGTTGTAATATTTGGCCACATGCAAAGTGAGAAACTTTTACTTTGAAATCGACATCTACAATAAATCTCATATTTAGAAATATGTTGATGTATTCTGTGTTGGCATAGGTTTATAAACGACTTAAGTTACAAATTAAGTGAGATAACCGCAGATGAACGTTAAGCAACCCAAACTCACCGCATATGCAGAGGAAGAGTTCAGCCCCTTTCACACATGCAGTCTTCGCTGGTAAATTACTGTTAAGAGATCATGTCTCTTGACCTCATGTCACAGGACCTTTTCAAAACTACAGGTAAATTCGTTCTGCCGATCATATCGTTCTGATGGAGATGACGTGATTACTCTGAGCTGTTTACAAAGCTCCGCTGCTTTTTATTAGGTTTTCTATATAAATATGACTCTAGATGGAATCTTTTTTGGAGTGAAAGCTGTGTTCCTCTCATACTCTGGTAGGCGACCTCATGAACTCGAACGTGATATCAACAAGTGTTTTTAAATGTAGGACGGCTATCTTTTTTCCCCGCAGCTAAACGCCGCACGCTGGAGAACTTTAAGCCCTGATTTAACTGTGATCACAGGAATAAATTAGGCTACATTTTAAAATATATTCAAATAGAAAACAGTTATTTTAAATAGTAAAAATATTTCGAAATTTCACAGTTTTTGCTGTACTTTGGATCAAATAATTGCAGGTTTGGTGAGCAGAAGAGACTTCTTTAAGAAACATAACAAATGTTCAAAAACTTGACTGGTAGTGTAACTTTGTAAAATAACTCCCTTTTATCAAACACATACCGATCATATTTTTTTACATAAATTACTCCCTGTTTAATGAGATGGGTGCGCTTGATATGATTTGCCTAACTATTAGACAGTCTGAGGCTGGCAGTACACTAGACGATCAAATCTCAGCCCATTTTAAAACCATAGGAGAGCACAGACACGAAGAGAGTTTCAACTGATTTTAGTGCGTGTGATTTCTGAGAAAATGCAGAATATGGGTTATTATTTTTCTCAGTACTCTGCTTTCATGGCATGTCTGTGGTTGCCAAGTTTCATTTATAGAAGCACACAACATCTCGCTCTCATTGATCAAGAGTGCCAAATATCAAACATGTTTCATATTTACAATGCAAGACGATGCAACCCGGGTCTCCTTCGACCTTCTGGCACCTTACACAACACATAACCTGCGGTTTTTACCAGCGGGAGCCACAACGGCACGCATTAACCTCACTCTCTTCACCTGCCTAAAGATCTCTGGCTTCTCCTGAACACAACCCTCCTCTCCGTTTACTCTTATTAGCTTACCTATCTGCCACCTTACCTTTATTATTTCTCCTCTTTTATTCCATAATGGAGCGAGCATCATGTGGTACGCAAGCGTCGTGCCTGTCTCAGCATCTCTCACTGTTTACTCTGATTGATGCGCGTGAGCAAACAGTGCAATTCTACATTCATTTACCTGTTGGCCACCTTACCTTATATTTTGTTCCTCTCTTTAATCTGTAATGATGCACATCTCTCACTGTTTACTCTGATTGATGCGCGTGAGCAAACAGAGGAGCATTTATGCAAAAAATATAACACTACCATTTTATGTGTACACTAAAGGCGGCAGGTGTTTATATATTTTGCCTGTGAGCAACAGATGTTCAGTTGACTGTTATTTAAGAGTGTGATATAATTAAATGAACGGTACAGTCTGTTGAGCGGGGGAACACTGACCAATCAGCACGGTTTAAGAATCTGCTCAAGTGCTAATGCAAATAACAGATGAATGAATAAATGCACATCTGTAACACACACTAACTGAAACACACTGACTCTACACACAATAACACACACACAACAATAAAGCAGTGTGAGACGAGGTGCATGATGGGAACTAAACCATTAGCACTGTAAGCTGCGCAGTTAACACGCTTGTGTGGAACAGAAAGAGCTTTAGACCTCGCTTCATCAGAGCTCAGAGGCTGAGATGATCGAGCTCAGGTTAAACTGGGCAGAGGACACTTCACAGAAATAACAGATCTGTGCTGAAGCGACTCAGACCGTGTGAGTAACTCAGCCAACGCTCGGCAAGGTTTAACTAGAAGCAGGAGTCTGTCAGAGTGAGTTTAATGTAAGTTAGTGACAGAAAGCGTTCGTGACGGGTTTACAGACATTAGGCCCGTGGTGCTCTTCTTACCGCTTTCTGCGAGGGAGAGGCGCTCTGGACGGAAGAGATATAGCGCTCCACGTCCGCTTTAGTCCGCCTCATGGCTGCTGTGACTAACTCCTCTAGACTCGGTTTCACAAGCTGATCCTCGAAGCGCGGACCAGCGGCTAAAAGCACTCTCTGCTCACGCGCGAGCGATGCACGATCGAGCAATGACGCAATTTCCGCTCTGTCTTCTTCTGCTGCTGCTGCTAATAGTGCTTGTCACGTGTGCGTCTCCGCCGCCTGCTGGCCTGGAGCGACACGCGGCGTGTTCTTCTTCTCCTCCGTTCATCTACTGTGTATCTTACTCTGTACTGCTGTTTTCCCCTCTTAAATAAATAAAGGAATAATGTAGTGATCAGAGCCCATGCCTCAGAAGCATCGTGATCCTCCTCCTCAGACACTATAGTGCTAAATCCTGTGGTCTAGTCCTGTAAGCTCTAAAAATGTTAAAACCACCTTATATATCTGATTATCTCTCAAACGAACCCTTAAAGGTCCACGACGGAATATTCCATACCGATACCCCATTTAATGGCATGTTGGGACAGATTTCTTCATTCTCCAGACCACAATCCTTGACCCACTGTTCATACTTCCAACCAAAACTATTCCCTCCATTCTTTTTATAATCCCAACAATCATTTAAAATTGTGCGTGTATGATGATTGTTACTTAACCCAATACATCATTGCAAGCTTTCCTCTTGCATCATTTCAACCCTGATGGCATCTAGAGGAGTTGATCTTATTGCTCCACAGCAGATTCTAAGTGCTCTGGACTGTATGTTGTCCAGTTTCTTTAATTCTGATTTTGCCGCAGCACCATACACTGCACACCCATAGTCTATACTAGACCGTATTAAGGCTTGATATACATGTAACAGTGCACTTTTCCTTGCTCCCCATTCATACTTGGCTATTGAAGTCATGCAATTTATTACTCCTTTGCATTTGTTTTAAATTTTCTTAATATGTCTCTTCCAAGTTAATTTTTCATCAAAGATTAATCCAAGATATTTGAACTCTGTCACTCTTTCTAGTGATTGATCATATGATTTCAGAGTCATTTGTTCCATTTTCTTTGTAAAAACCATATTTTGAGTCTTTGGTACTGAAATCTTCCATCCCCAATCTACTGACCACCTTTCAACTTTAATTGATTCCTGTATTCCTTTAACTATATTTCCTAAATTCCTACCTCTTTTCCATACTGCTCCATCATCTGCCTTCCCAATGATTGGTTTAACTCTTTCAAATATATCATTAATCATTACATTAAATAAAATTGGACTGATTACACTTCCTTGTGGAGTCCCATTCAGGATATCATACGATGCTGACATTTCTTCACCTATTCTTACCTGGAATGTACGCTCAAACAATAAATATAATATCCAATATTCTACCCCCATTCCAGTTTTATTTAGCTTAATCCATAAAGTGTCATATGTATTTTCAATGTCAAAGAAAACAGCAACACGGTATTTTTTCATTCTTAAAGCTTTTTTAACATCATTTTTAAATAATATCAGACCATTCACTGTAGATCTATTCTTCCTAAAACCACTCTGGGCTGATGATAATATACATTTTTTTTCTCCAAACAGTAATTCAGCCTTCTTACTATAATTTTCTCCTTTACTTTGCATAATGTAGATGTTAGGGCAATTGGCCTTTAAAAAGGGGTCATGTGATGCGATTTCAATGTTTCCTTTCTCTTTGGAGTGCTACAAGCTCTTGGTGCATAAAGAAGATCTGTAAAGTTGCAAAGACTAAAGTCTCAAATCCAAAGAGATATTCTTTATAAAAGTTAAGAGTCAGCCACGCCTACCGAGTCCAGCCCGGGGTCGTCACATGTGGTTGACGCAAGCCTCCTTTGTCGAATCCACCGTTCTCAAACCGCCTGCCTCTGCTCACTCTAACCCGCCGTGTGTGACGCTGTGTTTCGTTGTGAAAGTGAAACTACTTTGTTTGGTCTTCCAAAAATGGACACGACTAGAAATCAGTGGTTAAGTTGTATTTACAACACTGTTCCAGAACAGTTCAACCCAAATATTCAGATGTGTGCAGCACATTTTATGGAGGACTGTTTCCTGATCCTGGGAGAGTAGACTACAATGCCGGCTGTTCTGACTCACAGACTGTAAGTACGTTTTTTATATTTAAAGAGTTTTTATATTTTTTATATTTAAGGCGAGTTTTTAGGGCAGTGTAGAGTAGCGCTTGTTGTTTGTCATTTCTCCGATCACAAATGCAGACATGGTTTTATGTTTACGTGGCGCGATGCAACGCAACGCGTAAAAAGACAGTATAAGTCATTATAATCAGTAATTATGTCCCCACTGGATGCAACAAATGCCTCGTTTATAATGGGTTTTCATGTTTTTGTCTCGTCGCTCCGGCCGGACAGGGCATCATCACAGTATGGTGAGGGGCATAACATTTCCGTCTCACGCTTGAGGTATTCAGCCAATCACAATGCACTGGATAGCTGGCCAATCAGAGCACACTTCGCTTTTCAGACCAATGAGCTTTGTAAAAATCGACGCGTTTCAGAAAGACGGGGCATAGAGGAGAAACAATAATGTACAGTATGTGGAAAATAATGTGTTTTTTTAACCTTAAACCACATAAACACATTTCATTACACCAAATACACAAAATAATGTTCTTTTTAGCAACGTCATATGACCCCTTTAACTATTAGATTTTGTTGCATCTTTTCCTTTTACTACTGGTATCACTATTGCACTTTTCCAATCATTGGGTAAAGTACCTTCATTCCATATATGATTACATAGATCCAGTAATGCTTCAACGCTACCTCTGGTGAGTTTTTTTTAAACATACTAACTGATCAGGTAACTCTCTGCTATTGTATTCTTTGAACTGTCGATGGCTATTTTTAACTCAAAAGAACTTAAATCTTCATCCATATTACTATCAACTCCTTGTTTTTTCATACAAACATTCTCATATATTTTACTTGTTTCTAGTCTTCTTTTTAAGAACTAATCATCCAAGTTTTCAATGCAATTTCCTTTCTGTCTTCTGCTGCTGTGTAATGGTTCTCCGCCACCTACTGGCCTGGAGCCAGGATCGGCGTCGTCTTCTCTCAGTTGGCAAATAAACTTATTTCCGCCAGCCCCTGAGAAAGAAAGAAAGAATATGTACATATAAACTACATTATTTTAATAAGATTTGTTGACTTTTGTGTCAGTATTGTCAGGTTATATATGTATATATACAAGTATGTATGCTACAATTACAAAATAAACATAAATAGATCAGTACTTTATACTTTTAGTATTGAAGTACATTAAAAGCCAAATACTCTTGTACTTTACATGAGTAAAATTGAAAAGGAGTAGTTAATACTCTTACTGGAGTTATGCTTTATTAGAATATCTGCACTTTTACTCAAGTACTTGCCGAGCTCCAGCCAAAAAAAAAAAATAAATCACTTAAAGGGTTAGTTCACCCAAAAATTAAAATTAGGCTGTGTTTTACTCACCCCCGAGGCATCCTAGGTGTATATGACTTTCTTCTTTCAGACAAATCCAGTCGGAGTTATATTAAAAATTGTCTTTGATCTTTCAAGCTCTATCATTTCAGTCAGCAGGTGTTGCAGTGCTTCAGTCCAAAAGACCTGAAATAAAAAGCACCCATCCATAAAAAAAAGTGTCTCACACGGCTCCGGGGGGTGAACAAAGGCCTTCTGTAGCGAATCTAAGCGAATTTTGTAAGAAAAATATCCATATTCAATACCAAATGTGGTATTTTCACATGCTTTCAGATAGAGCAGCTTTTACTACACAGAGCCGTAGTTCACTGGCTATGTTTACATACACAATTTTTGTTTTAATCGGACTGATTTCATTCTGATTGATGATTCTGAATGTAGTATTTACATGAATGCTAAATAAAGTGATCAGGTTGATGTGTGCGTTTATATGCCACAAATTTCAAATCGGAATTGATTTTTTTTTGTCATGCACATACTGCACAAATATAGAGTTTCTCACTGTTTGCATATACATATAAACCGCAGTGTTGTGCTGCTCATATTTATCACGCAGTAAAAATGCCCCTCCTCACGCCCAAAACGGGTTGCCTGTGGATGAGAATCCAAAACAAGGACTGGTCGGAGGTTGTCCAGCTCCACTTCACAGTTGCAAAGTGAAAGGAGAGTTCTCTTTCAAGCATATGTTTCGGTGTCTCACTATGGGATACGCCCCTTCCGCGTATTCCTCAGAAGCCCAGTTCCATTACGCCAACCCCAATAGGCTGGCAGACATGACGTTGCATCAGGGAGTGGCTCCCTCCCCTCGGTATAAAAGGAGCGATGCAACGTCATTATGACATTCAAAAACCTCTTCTCGCTTCACACCAGAAGCCTACCCAACTCAGATAGCCATCAACTAGTCTCCACGCTGGTTGCTGGCTTATCGTTTTGGTACTGTACTATAGTCGATTTGTTGGCCACCACGCCGCTTTCGCCTACCCTTCAATCGGCACTCCAGCTCATTGTTAGGGTCATTCAGTACCGCAACTAAGGCTGCATCAATGCAGACTACCCTAGCTAGAGAGGGAGATCCGAGGCTTTGCTCATGCGGGAACAAGATCTCATGCAAAGACACACACCAGGTCTGCTCTGCATGTCTTGGGCTGAAACATGCCCAAATGGCAATCGAATGTCCCGGCTCCTGTGAGCACTGCGCGCGTTTCACCATGAAGAGCCTCCGTCGCAGTTTAGCACGCCAAGCTAGCTCGTCTGGCCAGGATCCCCTCATGTCAGCTAGCCTCAGGTACCCATTCCTGTGGAGCTGCCCACCATGGCAGCTCTATCGTGGGGTGAACAACTGGATGTTTGCGCCCCTCTGCCCGGTGTCCTCAGCACAGACGAGGAGGAGGAGGACGTGTTTGAATATGAGGAAGAGGGGCAATTGGATTTTCTTCTCTCTGAAGAGGAGGAAGATTTCGAGGATTCCCCTTTCCTTCCCCCTGCGCAACCGGCACAACCCCCTCGCCACGGAGGAGGCGGGCGGGGCACCATCCTCTCTGCTTCTTAGTGTGGATCTGCAAGACGTGTGCAAACACGCTACGGAGAAACTCGATATTCCGTGGCCGACCGTAGTAGCTGAGGCTGCAAAGTCGCG